CAACACCGAACGCTGGGAAAATTGTGAAATACGCGTTCCCGGAATTATGCTCTAGGCACATATCATTAGGGAATTTCGGGTTCGGATCTCGCGGCGACTGAATTTTTCATCGCGCCCGCTTTTTTAAAGATTTATTTCGGCAAAGGTTTTTGCGATCGTGTGACGCGCTTTAACGCTTTGTGCTGTGGAGTCTTTGCGGCGCGAAATATTCCCACATGTAGAGGATAATATTCGGAATCCGTTACATCTTGTGTTTTATCTTTGCGGCTTCCATAAATAAAGAATATTTCGCTCTATATTTGTAAATATCCGCGTTTGTTGTTTACTTAGCTCGCGGCGAAACCGCATCAAACATTATTTTGAGAAACTCGCGTCATTTCGAGAAAAGGAATCGAGCTGTAATTTACTTTTAAAAATACGCTGGCATTCTAAATCCTCGCCAACTCGTAATCATATGATACGGCGAAAATCAAGCCATCATTCAAGCCAGCCTTTCTCCCGTGCCGTATTTACATATTCTCATTCCGACACCCCATAGATTCGGCAAAGAATGGATTGTTTCTCTTCGCGCCAAAATTTATAGTGCGCGAATTTTCCGCGGGGGCGCTCTTTTCGATTTTCGATTTATGGTAGACTTGTGCGGGTATGATCGTGATTTTAATGCGCGCGTGAGGAGCGCCGGCTCGAAATTTGATATCTCTATAACGTTCATGATGCCCTGGTACAGCACTCGCGAGATTGAAGCTTTATTATTAGGGAGATTTATGTTACTTACGTTTTATTGCCGGTTTTATATTGGTTTTTAAACATAAAACACCTATAAAAGATGCTCATTTATTTTATTCAAGTACTCGGTTCGAAGCCACTTCGAAACTTGTCCCACGTTTGTGGTATCTATCTTACTTAAAAAAATATCCACTCCATTCACTATAGATAAATCATTATCTAGAACATGCAACCTAAATACCTGACAAAAAAAAATATTTGTCACTTTTTCCGGTCAAAAGGAAATCAATATACTGTTACTTTGGCAAATTGTCGAAGCCACAGGCAAACAAAATATCGTTTTTAAATTAAAAATAATTGGTAGTGATCAGTAAAAAGGTCTCGGTATAAATTTGACACATCCCGTTAGTCGGTTCGGCGGAGTTTATCATTTCTCTGTTTTTGCGGCGGCCATAATAGGCTTCATAAATTTTTGATAACTTTTTTGCGAATTTGGACGCGAGCGGCGACGGGTTAAAAAGTTTCGGCCAAAAAATGGCGTATTAAGTGCGCGCGCGCCGGCCGGCTAGCAATTGCTTTTTCGTGAAACTGCGCGAGACTTTTTGTTTGCTATAGATGGGATCCAGCAAACATTGTTCGTGAGCAAGACTTGGTTATAGTACCGTTGTGTTATTTCCAATTTATCCAAGTTAAAAAGAGTATGTTTAAAAGAAATGCGAGCATAAAAATGCTTGCAAGCGTTTATTTTAAATTACGAAAGCTGCCGGTTTGAACGCATTTTTGTAAGCTAACTTCAGATTAAGACTGAGTTGCTCCACCTAACTTTGACCGCAACTATGACGATAACCGGTGATTTTTGTATGGAGTTTGACAGATTTTGACGTTTGTCAAAGTTAAAGTAAGATGGTGCAATCCAACCTAAGTATTCAGCATATGTTTTTATTTATTGTTTTTTATGTTTAGGTACTTACTCTTGCTTTGTATACCTTAAATGATAATTGTGCTGAATAAAGACATTCTTTTTCTTATTTTTAAGTATTTTAATAACGAACATAAGAATTAAATTTCGATTTTCGACCACACAGGAGTAATCGTTCCATTTAGCCCCAAAGCAAACAGTTGGCATACCGATCGATATGGATCGATGCGTAAACACATGTCCGTAAATATTGATCGCGCTGCATTAGCAATAACGTAAATACGAACAATCGGACCCCCCACGCTAATGCACGCGTTTGGTTAGTTGGACCTGGGCTGGGGAGTACCGTCAGCAACAAAGTAGATCAATTAAAATTGATTAAATTTAATTATTACTTTTTCGATAAATTTAATTGCCGACTGAATCTTCAAAAATCAGATAAATGTGACAGTACATCAACAGATGTGACAATACAGCTAAAATGTAGAGGGAATTATAAAATGAAGTAATTTTAGTTACTACTTTTTCGATTGGCACTTGTTTAACACTGACTGGGTCAACAAAACTCATAAATTTAAGCTATTTGAATGTTTGGATCGTTTTGAAATCAGATGTGTGATCAAAAAAGCATCACTCTAACCTTATCCCATCCCAAATATTATAAATGCGAAAGTAACTCTGTCTGTCTGTCTGTCTGTCTGTCTGTCTGTCTGTCTGTCTGTCTGTCTGTTACGCTTTCCCGCTTAAACCTCGCAACCGATTTTGATGAAATTTGGCATAGAGATAGTTTGAGTCCCGGGAAAGAACATAGGATAGTTTTTATCCCGGTTTTTGAAACAGGGACGCGCGCGATAAAGTTTTTCTGTGACAGACAAAATTCCACGCGGGCGAAGCCGCGGGCTGAAAGCTAGTCTTAAAATAATAAGAAAAAAAAAGAGTAATTTTAGTGCATGTCCATCTTTGACAAGCGTAACGTATTGATTGTGACATACGTCCTTTTTGTTTTCTACGAGTAAGACACGACGTCGCCCAGCCACCTTATGTCTATCCAAGAAGAGTGCAGGTTTACCGGTTTTATTACAAAACCGCTGTAAACCCCATAACATGACCTCCACAATCCTGTACAAGCATAAAATAACCGGCAACGGGGCATCATCGCTCCTTCTAATAACGTATTCATGCTTTCATAGTGATATGAGGCAGGGGAATGTCGTATAACGTTTTTGTTATTGCCAATCGGTGCAGTAAAATGGATGTAAGATGGTAGGGTAGACGCGAATTGTTTTTGAGGAGAGGCTATTGGAGATTTGGGGGTTTGGAAAGTGGTAGGGTTAGCTGAGGTTCCGTAGTGTCACGTGCGATAAAAGGTTATCAGTCAATTTTGGTGTTGACAGTGTTATCAATACCTATTTGGTGCGATTTCTGTAGTCTTCTTACCTAGGATTTACTTCAAGTTGATAACCTTCTACCATGAGAAAAACAGCATGCGATTATTATTTAAAACAAAAAAATAGGTCACACTTGTATATTATTTCATATAAGAATTAAGAGATTTTCTGCATCCTATATTAGTCAATGTGTACTCTTTTGCAACAGTTTTAAAAAAGAACGCAATTACGTCATCGTTGCAATGATCTTACTGATATAATATTTTTGATACTGAGTATCTCCTTACGAAATTTTTAATAACCATATCATAACTCAAAAGTCCACAAGAGTGACGTGACTTCACCTCGAGTACACCTCGGCCACAGTCCAAATTAAACGGTCTACCTGTTGGACAAAGAATAAATTTAATAATAATGCAAATAATAATTATACAGTCACATAAGTATACAAAAACGTAGACAATTATAGATGACACTGATCGTATTTTCAAACATCAATTGACTCCTCATACTCTTAATATATTAAAATCTAGTGTAACTTTGTATAAAAGCCAACACATATAATTCAATCCAACGAATTAGTACTTCAAATCCCCTTCTCTAATAAATCTACATATTAATGTAGACACATCTGCCTTAGCCACAACCATTCAAACAATATTCTCCAAATAATTTTCAGTACTTTTTTGTTCAAACTAAACTGGCTCTTGTCACTTCGCTGTGTCGCAGTCACGTCCCGTGCTTTATGCGTGAGCGCGGTAACGGATATCGTATCAATTTCGCCGGCTTTTATCGGATCATCTCGCGACTACAGATTCAACGGGATAGGCGCCGAACCGGTCCGAAAAATGCTTTGTGTTAGTCCAAAAATCCGTCACGATGATTGGTGGATCAAGATTTGGACAGAGTGAAACCTTTTTGTATTCATAGCATCACTATTAGTTTACTTATGTGCCTCTCTTTATTCTCTATTTTGCAAAATAATAGTTATTACAATGTAATTACATACTTTCTTTTTATACTGACTGTACTAAGTCGTATTCAAAAATTCAAATAGAGAACTTAACGTCAAGATGTCAATTTTTGTTCCATTGCCAAAGAACACCTAGTTCCATATTTGGAATCTAAATCGAAAAAAAAAGTTACTAGAATAAAAAGAAGTGTTGTTTATTTTACCTAATAAACGCCTCGAGAGATAACGTCGCGAAAATATCCAAAATTCACTTTCTTGTAATTGAAATGGGAAGATCCATCTTCCTATCGATAAAATTCTTAGCAAAAAATAACGATAACTACCCTCATTCGGGATTCCAGCCGCGAGTTAATAATTTACGCTCACGTGCAGGTACCAGGGCGGGATGAGGCACAGGAGGCCTCGTGGGGCGCGGCACCAATAACATTAACTGTTGCGTGCTGGTCGCCTGGTACTTCGGCGTATCTTACCGTGCTCTGGCTCCCTGGTGGCACGGGGAAAATGTGGAGTTACGAAAAAGCTTTTTTACTTATTAATGACAACTAATGTAGAGCAAATATTTCTCATAAATTATCCTCAGATCTATTCCAATAATATTAGGCGCTACATGTTGCGTGCTGATCGCCTGGTACTTCGGCGTATCTTAGGTACCGTGTTCTGGCTCCCTGGTGGGACGATGAAAGTTCTGGAAACTTATTTAAGTATTATAAACGACAGCTAATTATTATTTTTGTAGACCTAAAAATTTGCAAAGTTAGTTCATTTAAGGTTAACACTGTACGTTTCTGAGAACGCTTAATCTGACCGATGATTTGATGTGCCCTCCAAACGCAAAATCATATTCCTTTCAGGACAATTTAGTTGAAAAACAATACAAGCATTCGTAACTTGATCCAACATTTGTCACACGAATCCGAAAACAATTGACCAAACATTTGCCTTGACTTTTTAACCCTAAAAAGGCCCAGTAATTAAACTCTTCCTTTTGTTTCAGCATCCGTACCCGTCAGAAGACCAAAAGAAGCAATTAGCACAAGACACAGGGTTAACGATACTACAAGTAAATAATTGGTGAGTACATGCATCCTCTTTTAATCCGTACCTGAAAATACTCGTGCTTTTTATGCGGCGAAATGCTGTGTTCCAGAGCGAGGACTAAAAAAGTTTATAAGGCGAATTGCGTCGTTGCAGTTACTGAAATTTTAACGAACTGTTTGGTGCCAATTCTTATACGTAGCTGACACTGACAGAGTTTAATTTCGTTTTACTTACTGAACGACGAACTTCATTTTAAATACCTGCTTACGTGATTTAAGTACCTACTTAAGTAATTTTAGGTACATATTTTTGTTTTCTTTCTGATGAGACAACAAAAAGATGCTTTTGAATCTGTATTCATTTTATGAATGCGAAAGTGACCTCTCTCGCTACTTAATCTGTAACATTTTCATGCGTAAAATGATGAACTGAATTTGATGAAAGCTTTACTACTCGAATGAAATTTCGATTTTTACTTTTGGATTCTATTTACTTATGTGTGTTTTCTAATAAAAACAAATTAAACTACCCATAAAGATCTATTCCAGCCGCTATAACTATTGTCAGCAATCAGCCCAAATCCGCATTTCATTGCTGAATTTAGTCGACCATAAAATGGCCGGAGTGACGCTTAAGACTCCTTATTAAACCCGTCGTTCTACCCAGAAAGACCAGTTCAACCTGACCTGTCTTTAGACCTAGAACTAGCTGTGCCCGCGACTTCGTACGCGTGAAAATAGGAACAATATTTCCCGTTTTTGCAACATTTTTCTTTATTTCCCCACCCCTATTGGCTTTAGAGTGATGTTATGTAGCCTAAAGCCTTCCTCGATAAATGGGTTATTCAACACAAAAAGATTTTTTCAAATCGGACCAGTACTTCCTGAGATAAACGCGTTCAAGCAAACAAACTCTTTAGCTTTTTTTATACCCTTAGATATTTTTACACCACGCTTCTAGTCCCAAACTAAGCAAATCTTGTACTATGGGTACTAGACAACAAATAAAACATACTTAAATGTAATATTAGTAAAGATGTTCTAGAATACGTCCAGGTTTCACGCCCCCAGGTGTCAAGGTACACTGGTTTGGAAATAACATGATTATCTTAAGTGGAATGTTATAAAATGTCGTATTTACGGGCCCACTAACATCGGATGCGTAAGGATTATAAACGTGCGCTAGAGTTCGCGTTCGGGTTCGCTCGTTATTTAACACTTGGGATCTGTCCAATATTACGTCTTATTTGTTATTGCGGATCTTAAGTTATGCGACTTAAGATTTTAGTTAGATTTGATATTATTTTCCAGTAGCTAGGAATCTTGGTAATTTGAGTTATGAAATTAATCGCTAAGGAATTTCAAGTACTGAAATATATCGGTGGGGTACTGAAATCAACGATATTTTCTAGTAAGGTAAGATTTCAGAGTTGCACTTATTATTTTAATTACCTAGGTACCTAATTATGTTAACAATAGGTGATATTACTTGGTACTCACAGATATCAAAAAGAACAATAAATTGTGCCTCTTGCATACATTTATGCATAGGTAAATTGCAACACGTCAAGTGTCAAAATTATGCGTAATTAGCATAATTTTTTCAATTTTCAACTCAGGTGTGTACTTACCTGTATTCTACAATAAATTTTGTCGCAAAAAAGGGAAAATAAACCCTAAATGGCTGTGCCGGACGTTTCTGTTCGCATTAGCGGCGTGGGCGGCGCGTGAAGCTCGTAAAGCGCTCGATAGATGGCGCTGCTCTGCGCCCGCGCACGCGAGATTACATCTGACACTTTCAGAATAAGTATGTATGAAAGAAGATAATTGAATAAAAAATACTTTCGAAAAATATCGTCATAAGAATATTTAATTTTATCAACCACCTTAATACAAAAAAGTTAAGCTCTAGTTGTAGGTACACTTGTATAACTTGACAATATTTAGTACGGAAATTGTATTATTTTAAACCATTGTTCATCGCGCGTTTAACTCTTTTGTAACTTCTTTTGCATCAAAAGATTATGATCTCAAGGCTTGCGTAATTTAAAAGTATTTATTTTAATGAAGTATCAGCCAGGTACTACCTGGCTGACACTTCATTAAACCTACCTACTCATATTTCACTAACTGGCTGAAAAGTGGACTGAGAGGGTGTTGACTTAATTTCTACTATGAAATACTCAATACAAAACCTAACTTTAATAATTATTAAATGACTTTTTAAGTTCGACTACAAAAGAAGCTCTCAGGCATTAAATACCTATTCCTTGCATTATAAAAGCCACTTCATCTTCTACAAAAACACTGCAATAAAGGAACTGTCTATCATCAACGTTCATATACCGCGAGAATGGCTATCAACTCAACAAAATGGCTCTCAAATCATCCCAAGTGTTTTTATAAATAAACTCTAGTGGGAATCACATTCAAAATAACACAAATATTTATTTAATTAGCAAAAGACCATCTCGGTGGCAGTTACTGTTTCCTCAATGGGCCTAATGAAGGAATAACAAAAATATCTGACCATTCAAATCGTAAAAGTGTTCCGCTAGATTTCAAAACTATACGTTTGCTAGGTTTATATTTGTGGAACTTCTATTAATGTTTGGGAATTTATACTGGCAGTTTTAGTCCTATAAAAAATCCGGTCAAAAGTATTAGGTATGCGTTTGGTAAAAAAACCAAATCACAAGTTTTTTCTCATTTTTGTCCATGGCTTAATTCAGACCGAAGACTGGACAGGGACTTAGCAAATTAAAGGTTTCTTGTTGTTGAACTACGGAACCCTGAAATGTCTCTATTAGCGTGTGAAAGTCATTAATTTTTTTTTAATAAAAATAACTTTAAAAAATTGAACTGCCTAAGGCGGGAATTGAACCCAGTTACATTGAAATTAATTTCTTACTAAAATAACTAACTCAATACAACGTTTAAGAATTTCATCATTTCATCAAAGGATATCATCATCATCATTTCATCATAGCCTTTGTATTACTATTCGGAAACGCGAACCTTTCAATGCATTGTCTTCAATTACACCAAGAGCTCAGCTTAGCTGTGTATCCAAACTGAGAATGCCACCCACTTCACCGTATCGATGGCAGTTTAATAACCACTATCGAGTGCTCGTAATGAGCCACTTGATACGTCGAGCGAGCGATGCCGTAATTTGACACCTCGGCGTTTTTGACAATGCCTTTATGATGAAGTTAATTTTGTACGGAGACCGTTTACGTAAGACTTGTATTATTTTGAAAGTAAACGATTGTACATTGGAAACCTTTTGGCTTTAAAATTACTCAAAACTCTGTAATTTACTACATTCCAATCTTGTAAAACACAAATTCTTTTGTATTGTGCATATTTAAAAAAATGCTCATACATTTTAAAAGGCACTCGATTAGTATGTATTTTCCATGTTCAACACCAGTCAGGAGTCAAACACAAAAAACCTTTGACTTGACATGCCAATCATGTTAAACAATACTTTTCCGATTTTACATTTTAATTTTTTCGACCTATGCCATGAGAAGAAGAAGTTTTTAAAAGTATCAAGATGTCAAAATCCCGTTGTAGGCCGAGCGTTGGCCCGCCCGTGGGCTGCGCGCCTGGTACTCGAAGTCTGATTGACGAGGTCAAAGGTTGAGGAGCCTTTGTCTAACTCTTCACGCGCATGACAGCCTGGTACCGTTAGACAATTACAAGCTTGTAATTATCTTTTTTTTTACATTTACAAAACGATTTTTAAATAATTACTAACGTGAGACAATTGAATACGACGCGTTAGATATTATTCAGTGTAATCGAGATATTAAAATTCAAAATTACCTACTTACTTTTGTGTAATGGTTACAGTCCCACTGCGGTCCCACTATGTTTCATCTATGAGGCAAAAACCAATGTACCATCAGCAACTGTGTTAACTATCCATTGCCTGTCATGTCGTCTCGTTCTATCGCAAAGAATCACCATTTGATGAGAGCGAGAGCAAAAACGGAAATGGATAGTTAACAGTGTGGCCGTGTGTAGCTACTCAAATGCTTTTAATAGACAAAAGAACATAATTTACAAGTCAGACTTACATAGCTCAATAAATGTATTCAAAACCACTCAAAGAACCGACATATATCCCAACAGCAAACACTATTGCACCGTGCAAAAATTAATTATGTTTATCCTTCAAGTTAAATATGAAGGTGTTGCCAGTTAATCGAGAATAAACGGGCAATTAAAAAGCTCTTACCGAATGAAAAATTCATCGCGGCGTAATAACACTGCATCGGAAGGGTTGGGCCGGCCCTTGTATGATCAGGTGGCGCATCCCTAGCTGATTACTCTCTGATAGTCGTAGGATGGATATGGGTTCGGGGCTTAAGGAGATAATGGGGTAATGCACCATCCATTTATTGTATGAACGCCATTTGGTTTTACTTTTGTTACTAGACTGTTTTGTTTACATTTGTGTTTAATTAAAATATTTGTCATTGTTCAGATTGACTATATTGATGATATCATAATACTTTTAATATTATTTATTATTATGAAACTGAAAAATCAAAATAATCTTGCTTCTCATTTCCATTGAATAGTTTTAACTAGTGTTCAGGCATGAAGACTCGTACCCAATATTAGTGAGCAATGTAATTTTTTTATTTACCATTTTCTATGTATTTATTAAGACGTATCCTTACAATGCCTTACTGGGTAGTAACCCCAGCGTCCACCAGGGAGCCATAGGCTCCGTAAATATTATATTAGTGCACGTTACCAATTTGCGCACTCCATGAGCGTGCGTGTCCCGTGACGTCATGTCGTCGGCATCTGCTAAATTATTCAGCGGGTAAAGTGTTTTACATTGTCGTTATTTATTTTATTGGTCAAATGAATGGGTTCTGTAAATAAACAAGGACAATTTTTGATCTAGACATTTTTGTATGTGCCATCGACAATGTAGTTCGGTAAGCTTCATTTAGCAATGAGGGCTATCGTTTTTATACTTAACAGTTGGCACCCCTGGCGATTGACAGG